GGGATTTTGGGATTTTGGTTTCGAGTTTTTCATAAAATAATTTGGGTTTTATTTTATTTGACTCATTCATTCCGAGTCTGACTAAATTATTGCAAAATATGGAGGATTCTCAAAACGAGCCACTGCCTCCAGGCGTTCAGTCGTTGCAACCTCATCAAGGCTTCTTCTACCCTCGTATGATGAGTTCACAAGCCCAGTATAGTAATTTCACTACAACTGCTCCTCAATCTTTCCACCAACCACTTACACAGCCACATGATGGCTCATCACAGAATGCTGATATCACTCAAGAAGCTAACTCATCAATTCATAATGCATTTGATATTCATCTTGTCAATGAAAAGCACAACCTCACACATTCTCATGGTGCTCTCCCTGCACCCACCAGAAGCTCCAGACTACATGTTGAAAATGCTAGCGAAATTGAAACTGCTGCGCAAAATGTGGTGTTGCATGAACAAGTACTTACGACTCTTTATTGTTTTTGTTTCCCCTTTTTCATGTTTTCATTTCTTTATTGAACTTATGTGATTATTTTCTCTTTGTCTGCCTAATAGGAAATTTCTACCCAAAATATCATACGTAGTCAAAGGTTTGTTTTTATTTGCTTTCACTAAAATCTTCTCTTCATGATGGATTGATGAATATGTAAATCATTTTAAGTTTGATGGTTTTTTTTTGCAATTTTAGAGAAGCAAGAGGTGTGGATGAGTCTTCGAAGGATAATGTAGATGTCTTCTCGGAACGCCTTGATCCCAGCGCTCTAAAGGTGTGTAATTTGAATGAGTTTTGCTTTTGTCTTGTTGACGTACCAACTTTATAGGTAGGCTCACTGAGTATATCATCTCCTATTCTGAAATTATTATCAGTTTGTGCATTCTGCTTATCGGTGCTGCTACAGGAGCATCTACTGAAGATGACCACGGAACATCGAGCTCAAATGGCTTCAAAACGTGGGAAGTCTACCCTTACTGGAGAAGGTTGGTAGAAAGTTTCTTCTTTATGATTGGCATGTACTGTTATTCCCTTTCTCAAAACTGTGATACCTGTTTTCAAAGCATTGGAAGTTTGGCCTCCCAGTACAATGGTTGTCGTTCCTTCTTTCTCCTTTACCGTTGGGCCTTTTTTCTTCTGTTACTTCTGTGGCCAACTCTTTTGAACATGATGTTCTTGTTAAAAAAATTTCTTTACCTTACTGGAGAAGGTTGGTAGAAAGTTTCTTCTTTATGATTGGCATGTACTGTTATTCCCTTTCTCAAAACTGTGATACCTGCTTTCAAAGCATTGGAAGTTTGGCCTCCCAGTACAATGGTTGTCGTTCCTTCTTTCTCCTTTACCATTGGGCCTTTTTTTCTTCTGTTACTTCTGTGGCCAACTCTTTTGAACATTATGTTCTTGTTAAAAAAATTTCTTTAGTAAAACAAGAGGAGTGTCTAACGAGGAATAAACAACCTCTTAATGAAAACAGGGAACATTATGACATCAGTGAAATGAAATGTTATATATTTGAAGCTCCTGTGAGGCAAATGAAAAACAGTATGGAATGCACATGGGTGGGGCTATTTTGAATATGCCACAAGAGACCGTTCCTTTGTTTGTCAATCCAAGAAGTTATCTCCATCCTGATTTATTAACAGCTTCTATTTGTTCACCTTTCAACTCAATGGAAGAGTTACGAACTAGCTCTTAGTCTAGTGGTATTTCTCTTTCCAATGTTGGAAGAGGTCTCAAGTTCGAATTCCCTGCCCCCTGTTAATAAAAAGAATATAACGCGATGAAGGAGTTTCTTTTCACAATAAAGTAGGATTCGAGTCATAGTAGCTTCCCTTAGGACGTTGTGCATGTGGAAATGATGCATGACTTGAAGCTGCCTTTTATAATAAACCAGGATTCAAATTGTTGATTTCCTTAAATGGATCAACGAGAGAGGTGAGATGGACAGATTGAGACGGGAGATAGGTAGACTAAATCACTCACACAGGACAGAAGATATATGTGTTCACCCAAGTTAGGCTATGCCCACAGGGTTAAAGAGTTCTCATTATGATAATGTAGTGTTTACGTATTACAAGAAGTTGGCTGAAGCATAAGAGACATGATTAAATACTCAGATTCTATAGGTGAGAGAGGGTCCTCTATTCTTGTTGTCTTGTGATGTGGGAAAATTATCCTGTTTGTATTCATCATGTTTGAATAGCTTCCTGTTACCATTTGTTGTGGGGTTTCTTGCGAGACCAATCGTGGCCTAAACAACACTCATTGTAGCTTCCATTAAGCAGCAGTCCTCACTCTGAAAATTGTCTTTTAAAAGACGGCCTTGATTTAAAGTTGGCGTAATCTGGATGGGGAATCCAAAACAAGGATATTTCTTTTGTCCTTTGCAAGAAAGAAGCTTGGAAAGGATTCCAAAATTTTGCGGCACATTTTCCTCATTTCCAGAAGCTTCCAAAACTTTTTTCTTCTTATAATAAACAAGAAAGAACCTTTGGCAGATTTGACAAATCCCACGGATGAGCCGACTCAAATATGTATGTAAACACTGAGAATTCCATGGAAGCTTCTGGAAATGAGAAAAATGAATGAACTGGTGATTTTTGAGTCCTTGGCTTTTCTCTGACAGGATATTGTCTATATGTAGCTGAATATATGGTGGGTAATACAGCTAACTGATAAAATTTGCAGACCCAAAGGAGAAGCATAGAAGTACTAAATAAGGAATTGGAAGCAAGCATAGGCACCTTTAGTCAAGGTGTGTAGAAAAGCCCAACAATATTCTATATATAAAGCTTACCTAGAATTGTCATCATTAAAGTTTCCATGCAATTTCTAAGAAAACATTTATCGGTATCCTAATGCTCACTTTAAAAATAAATAAAAAAGGTTTAAGTTACAGTGATGGAATGTGATTTAACAATCAGCGTGTATGTTTATCTGAAATGGAGGAGAAAGTTACTTTTTGAACTGGGAGAAAAAAGCTTGATTTGGCTGTTCTTTTACAATTAATAAAACCTTGGTAAAATTAAAAATAGATACGAGAAGTTTGCCCGATTGAATTACATGTCATGTGGAAAACTTCAAATGTTTTAGGAATCCTTATTCATGTTAATCCAGGTCATTTTTGGCTCAGTAAGCTCATAGTGGTCTGGCGAAATTTCTTGGTGTGGTTGGAAACCATGTGAAGATAATTGCTTACAAGAAAGAGGAAAATGTACTGCCAAGTGAAATATTCGCTCGACTGAGACAACCATAATTGTAGGTGTTATATGTTGTTTCTATAGATCATGTTTAATGTCATTCGCCATATTTGATATGCCAATTACTCAACAAAATAACTAGTCTTGCTTTCTGAGTTAATCTGAACAATGCTTCCATCTGCTGATTTCATACTAGGTAACATAGAAATCGGTAATGGCTATGGTGTACCAGGAGGAGGTGCTTATTACAGTGCTCCAGGACCTAATGTTACTACACCTAGTAAGCCTAATTGACAAAACTGAAGAATACTTTTCATTGTCATTTTCTCTTAATTGTCTACTGTAGAAATTGAGCATTTTCTTGTTTGTTTTCCTAGGAAATCTGGGAGTTGGAAATAGTGAGATGGGTCAGAAGAATTTTGAGTCTGACAATAAACAGAAGTCTCCAGCTAAAGAATTGCCAGAGTATCTTAAGCAAAAGTTGAGAAATAGGGGTATTCTTAAAGATGACTCAAGCAAAAGCAATCTTGTAAGTTTTTGCTATGGAAATAATTTTCCCTTACCAATGCTTTTACCTTTTCTCTCACCTCACTGTCGAACTGAGAAATAGGGGTATTCTTAAAGATGACTCAAGCAAAAGCAATCTTGTAAGTTTTTGCTATGGAAATAATTTTCCCTTACCACGCTTTTACCTTTTCTCTCACCTCACTGTCGAACATGTTTTACATTGTTTTGAGAATCAAATCTTATTTTGAAGCTATGTTCTTCAATCTATTTGTGCGAGTTCAGGATGGAGTTTTTGAAAATGCTCCTCTTGTTGGTTGATTGGATATCCAAGTCCCGTTCCTTTGTATGTGAAAGAATGCGTTGAGGCTCATATGTGTTGTGTCCTAGGTTGGTCTCAATGAGTGTCAACTGTTCTCTAGTCATTGGGGGTGATAAAAAAAGTGACATATGGTGTTAGACTGAACTTGGTACTAGTGTTTTCAAAGGTGTTAACTAGGAGCTGGCATCAAGGCAAGGCAGAGGCAAAATGCCCCAGACATCTATCTGTTGAGATAAATGCTCAAAAGGCATAAGCATTGCTCCGGTAGTGTGTGGCTTTTGCATAATAGCATAAGAGGCAGATGCCACTTTGGCAGACTCCATATATCCCCTTTCTCCGTTGAACCCGCAACAACCCACTGCTTTGGGAGGCTTATGCCTTGTCTTGCAAGTGCCAAAATACCTCGCATTACGCCTTGGCCTTTGAAAACACTGCTTGGTACCACTATGTGGGTTCAGGAGCACTTCACTGTAAGTTTGGCCTTGACAAGGACAAGAGGGTTATGAGTGAGGATGTTCTGAAGCTAATATTTTGTGCATTGTGCAAGTATGTTAAGTTTCAAGTTCGTTGTTTATTAGGTTGATCTAGAGAGAGTACAAGGAAATTTTTTACAAGGAACCCCATTGTTGACTAATTCTTTGGGGTATTATACTGATATAGCAAGCTCATTCCCTAGGTTGTGATATGGCAAGCTGACTAATTCTTGTTTTAGTTTATTTCGCCAGTCATCTTTTTTTATCCGTGGGTAACTTGAGTTTGTCCTCAAGTTATCTTATTTTCTCTTTTGAATATATAATTTCTCTTTTTATTTATTGGAAAGACAGTTTCTCCTATTTTATTTATTGCTCCTTTCTTATAAACCTCCTAGGTACAAGAAGATTGTGTCCCCTTTTGGTTTTCTTAATGAATTTTTTGTACCCTATTGGTTATTTTCATAAATATTACACTGCTTATGAAAAAGAAAAAAAAAAGCTTTGGAGTTCTGAAATATCTTTAACTTCTATTGTGGACTACTCAACTTATGACGTTAGACTTCCTCCGTTTGTTATTCTCAGTTGATCTCTTTTCCTTTGATTAACCTGTACCTTTCAATTTCAGAAGTTGAAAAGTAGTTCAACTCAACAGACGGAATATGGGAAATTGCCTCCTGGATGGGTGCGTATTGTGAGATATAATTGTGTTTTATTTTATTTTTTTATTAGGTATTTTGTTCTCCTAGCTGCTGGATAGAATTGTTGTGCAAAGACCATATCATGGAAAATATAGTTGAAATTTGTTTCATTTAACAAAAACAATGACATGTTCCTATGAGTCATCACTGAAGACTAAAGAATGCAAACAAGTTACAAATAAGATAAGCTCATTCTTGTTAGCTAAAAGTGCACATGATATGCTAGCGTACAAGGGCTCATATATACACACATAAATAGAATGAGCCCATAATTTAAATTTCTGAAATTAGTAAAATTGTAGTCTATTTAAAATGTCATGTTGTGTTCTTTCATGCTGCTATTACCCTAATACTTCTTGTATTACTTTTTAGGTGGAGGCAAAAGACCCTGCAAGTGGTGTTTTGTATTATTACAATGAGGTCAGTGGCAAGAGTCAATGGGAAAAGCCTGCTGAGACATCTTCTGTTACACCACTTCCATCACCTGTATCTCTTCCAGAAGATTGGGTGGAGGCTTTGGATGAAACAACAGGTATGCATGCCAAATATGTTCTATATGTATTTTGAGAGAAGTACATCAACATCCTAGGGATTTCACAAAGTCACTGGTATCCACTGTGGATGTGTAAATAGCACTTTAGTCTTAGTAAATTACACTTGGCTCTCTTGTTTCAGTTTCCATTTGTAAATGACCGTCAATGACAAAAAAGTAGTAAAACCTTAGTGAAAAATGAAAAAAAAAAGGAGAAATTTGTTTATATTGATATAGTATTATATATCGTGAGATTCTTTCTGTAGGATGTTAAGGGACAGATGTATGAATAACATATCGATAATATGTCAGTAATGTGTCAATAGATTATTGATATGCCAATAACATGTTAAATATACGTATGGACCAGTTATTGACATGTTATTGATATTTTAGCAATACATTATTAATATGTTATTGACATGGAAGGCCAAAATTCCTGCAGAGAGCCGCACTATATATATACAATTATTCTCTCATCCGGATGTCTGCATGTTATTATTGTGCGGATGACATTGTAAACAGGGAGAAAAGCAGGGAAGGGTAGTAGAAAATACATGGCATCTGCACAATAATAATGTCTGGATGTCCGCAGAGGAGAATTTCTGTATATATATATATATATATGCACATATTTATATAGGGAGAGAGAGAGAGAGATTGAGGATTTATAAAACAGTACACATTCAGAGAAGGGTAGTAGAAAATACATAGCGTCCACACGATAATAACGTCCGGATGGCCGCAGAGGAGAATTTCTGTATATATATGTGTACATATTTATATAGGGAGAGAGAGAGAGAGATTGAGGATTTATAAAACAGTACACATTCAGAGAAGGGGAGAGAGAGAGAGATGGAGGATTTATAAAACAGTACACTCTGTGCCACTCTCTTTCACATATTCTTCAGATATATTTCCTATATCCTTCAGATAGTAAATGATGCTTGAGATTCTTGAAGAAAAGAAAAAATAAGAGTCTGTTAGAGAGGGAGAGAGAGAGAGAGAGAGAGAGAGATGGAGGATTTATAAAACAGTACACTCTGTGCCACTCTCTTTCACATATTCTTCAGATATATTTCCTATATCCTTCAGATAGTAAATGATGCTTGAGATTCTTGAAGAAAAGAAAAAATAAGAGGCAGTTCAAAGTTTGGAAGAAAAGCAGGAGAAAAAGAGAAAGGTAAAGAACTATAGAAAAGGAAATGCTCTTCCGTGGAAGGGAGCTGGGACTATTCACACGAAGCACCCTCCAACAAAAGATAACAGTTCCAAGGACAAGAAGGTGGTTACTCTTTAGTAGGTGTTATCTTTTGTTGGTGGGGGGTTGCCTTGTTGTTGGGAATTATAAAAAGGCAGTTACTTTCTGGTGGTCTGCAGTCTTGATTCTTGTGTTTGGAAACGAATAAAATGTTCTGTGAAGGTAAGGAAGGGGTGAAGTTACTTTGCAATAGAACCAAATATTTAGCGCCTCTTCATCTTAAACATTTTAAAGATGAATCCTTTTTGTTATTCTTCTTGGTTAGGGAGAGCTTTGATCTAATAGTGATTTGCATTTATGTTTCTGGGTAACATATTTGGTTTGAACTTGATTAGACATCTGGTTCGTCTCACTTGTATAATTTCCTTTATTAGTAAAATTTGTTTCTTATTAAATTAAACATTGGGGAGAGGAAAAATATTCAATTTGTTCTCAGGATGCAATGATAATTGGGTTTAGTGGTAGGATCACCGACTTCTGGTAGGGCAGCAAAGATTGGGCAGTGGTGTTGGGTGATCCAAGAATTTTCCCTCTCTTGGCTTGGACTGATGTGGTTTTGAGAAATGCAATTGACAATGGTTGGAGTTTTGAGTGGCTTGGGCTGCTGTGGTTTTGACAAATCCAATTGATTATGGTTGGAGTTCTGAACATCTAAGGTTGAGAAAAAGGGGGGTTGTGCAAATAATGGTTTGTGGTGGTGGAGAGGATTTTGATTCAGGCATAGCTGGTAATGGTAGTGGAAGTTGAGATTGAGATTGGGCTTGAGGATGGGAGCGATAATGATAGCCTTCTTCTATGTGTATTTTACTTTTATTGCAGTATATATGATTCTTTTTACTAAAGTCATGAAGCGATCATTGTCAAGTAATTATTGCAAGAATCCCCCGGGGAAGGGGATCTATGATACAGACCTGTTTTTGGAGTTAGGAACCCACATTTTGCAGTTATCCAAGGAAATATGTCATTCCCATACAGTCATTGACTTGGGTTAAACTGACAAGGTAATCATTGTATGAGAATCAAGTAGCCAGTCCTGTTTCTGGAAATTGCAAACCAAGTGCCAGACAAAGTAGAGCCATGTCTCACTTACCATTTTGAAGGGGAACAGATATCCACTTCTGCTTTAGGGAGGTTGATGTGATGTGTTGTATGTTTCTTTTGATAGGTGCGAGAATATTTTGCCAATAAAGTTCCAGGGAGAACTGCCCATGAACCTAAATAGTGTCTACATTTTTCATGAAGTTGTGGTAGTGAAACATAACCAGACTACACAGACAAAATTTAATTGATAACTAGAGTTGTTTGCATTCTGTTTCTTTTTTATTTTCTTTTCAGACTTAGAACTTTCATACTTTCATGCACAGGTCACAAGTATTACTACAATACAAAGACACATGTATCACAATGGAAACACCCTAATTCGTCAGAGCAGGTTGCACTTGCATCTCAACATTTTGACAGCATGGCTTCTAGAAATCATGCTAATGTTATTTGGGATGGCCAATCAGCCGAGGTACAAGCAGAGAAGGATGAATCATCCAAAACAAAGAGATGCATGGGTTGCGGTGGATGGGGACTAGGCCTTGTTCAGATGTGGGGTTACTGCAATCATTGCACAAGGTAAGATGGCTCCCCTGTTCACAAGATACCTGTTGGGGTTCAGGAGAAATAAGCTCCATACCTGAGGGAGTGCTGGTGGAACTGATCCATAGTTAAATAACATGCGCCAAAAATGATCTATACTTCCCCCCAAGCTAGGAAAAAGATGTCCACTAACCACTGGTTGATTCATGAATACTGAAGTAACGACAAACCAATTCAATTTTTTTAAAACATATTCAACTTTGATTAATTTTATTAATAAGAAAAAAGAGTTACAACTAAGGGAACAAGGTGTCTCCTAAAAACATAAAATACATCAACAAGAATAAAAATAAAAATAACAAAAATACGTGACTAGAATCTGTCAATAAGAATAAGTATCAAAAGACCAATTGCTTAACTCTGAAGGAACGGAAACCCAAAAGGAGGCTCATAATCAAACTCTGTCTCCAAAATTATCCACCTTCTCACACCTTGCACCCTAAAAAATTCTCCTATTCCTCTCCATCTAACTATTTCCCACAAATCACGTCTCCCCAACACCAGTCGCCTCATCCTACCTCTAAATTAACCTTTTACATAATAAAGTGTTACAAGAAGCTGGAATCTCCCTACTCAAACTGATCTCCCTAAACATTCTTATCCACAAAGAATATAGAACCAGAAAATGGAGCAATAAATGTTTCAAACCTTCAGCATCCTTTCTTCATATGACACACCACTAAGGAGTAGGCAAACTACAATAAGGTCTCCTCTGTACCATGTCACAAGTATTCATCCTCCCATTAGCAATAACTCAAGCTAAAGCCTGGGGCATAGGTGGTTCTTTACCCTTCAAAACTGCATGAGAGTGGATACTTCTCACCCGCAAACCCTAGAGAGCAGAAGCTGGAAGATAAGTGGGTGAAGGGGTATGAGAGGCACTGGCAGCTAGAGAGCGGTGGAAGAGGGGCGGTTTCTAGAGATACTTTTTTCTTTTACATATTGAGGCTTTGATACCAAATTAAATTTGGCGTAAGTGGATTTGCATAGTAATATGTCTCAATGTGGATTAAAAAACAAAGAGTACAGTACCTTTCCCCAATGTGAGGCCAAGTGGATTTACTTTACTGACCAAGTGTATATATGGCACATGGTGAACATATTTTGTGCTGAACTTCCAATTTTCTATAGAAGCATGTCATGTTTTACATGTTTAGTACTGAAGTTTTGTGTGTCAGTGTTCACTATACAGTAAATCTATTTGTAATAAGTTGACAATGCCTTTACTACAAGAGTTTTAAAGCATTGCAGATACAAATCTCTCTCCTCTCTCTCTCTCTCTCTCTCTCTCGGAGTTGTGGTTCTCAATATATACAAATTTGTGTGCGTGATTGCATTGATACTCGTTTTTCTGGATTATTTTATCACTTGCAGAGTTCTTCATCTTCCACAAAGCCAGTACTTGATGACTAGTATGCCTAACAATCACCTGACCCAAGATCCTGTAGATATCAAAGGAGAATCCGACAGAAAGGCCCCCACACAGAGGTACCTGTCTTTTATGGAGCTAGGTTTTCTCAAGTAACTGCTTGCTTTTATCTACGAAGTCATAAGTGTCCATAGAACCTTAAATGCAGTGAAGTTGTCTTGGACTGCCGTTATATGTAAGAGATGTGATTTTACTTTTGGTTTTTAGGTCCAATTGGAAACCTCCAATGGGAAAGGGAAATAAAAGGGAAAGTAAGAAACGTTCTTACTCTGAGGATGAGGAATTGGATCCTATGGACCCTAGCTCATATTCAGATGCTCCCCGTGGTGGCTGGTATGTTCCACAAACTTGATTGATCATTTTAGAGTGATATTTTATTTTGTTTCCTCCTTTTAATATTTGTAAAATTTATCTGGTGCTTATTTTCAGGGTTGTAGGCCTTAAAGGAGTGCAGCCACGAGCAGCTGATACCACTGCCACAGTAAACTCAATACTTTTGCCTCAATAAATTTGTCTCATTATCTTGTTATAATGTGCCAGTAAATATATATGAACTTTAGCTCAATGGTTTACAAAGAGAAAATAGGAAAAACGGAAAAATGTATTTGGCATGGATATTTCACGAGTGATGCAACATGGATGATACACCTCCATGCATGGGAATATTGTCCATGTTTGAGTATCTACTGATACTTGAAATTGTCAACAACATCAGAATGTGACGCTTCCTTTCTCTCCTAGTGATGCACATAAATATTTTCCTGTTGTATGTTGATTTTACCATTTGAAATGAACTGAATTTGAAACCCTGTCATGCTTTAATTAGATGATGTTATGTTTCTGGTATATTTCAGGGTCCTCTCTTCCAACAGCGTCCTTACCCATCACCAGGTGCCGTCTTGAGAAAGAATGCTGAAGTTGCTTCACAGACCAAGAAATCAAGCTCGCATTTTGCACCTATATCCAAAAGAGGGGACGGGAGTGATGGACTTGGTGATGCTGACTGAGAAATTTGAGCAATTTTGGTCTATTTTGCATGTCAGATTACAGGTGTGTATATGTATTCTTTTTGTTTTTTTCTAATCAACTTTAAGGATATGGTTTTATCTACAGCAGCCAGATGACCCATTAATTTAACAATAATTTATGTAGCTGCTTGCTGCTGCCATACTAAGCTGGGTTGCATAACTAGACAATGACGAGCACAGACCTTGGAGTAATGATGCCCATCTTTGAAGTCAAGTCAAGGGAAGACTGTCTCGTTGGGGTTGGAAAATGCTGCTTAATTTGCAAGCCTGGATACATTTAAAGAAGAAAAAAAAAACGCCGCTGTATTCGTTTCTTCTATTCGTCTCATAGTAGTACCAGTAGGGTTTTAAAGTTCAAAGGTCTTCCTGTGATCCCAATTAGAATGAATATGTAAAGCGATGGTTGAGAGCATTACCGTTCTGCATAATTGAAGCATTTTTTATGTCATGAGGTTGAGGGCATTGAAATGGTCTAGTGTTAACAGCATTTAGAATAATGCATGCAACTTTCCTGCAAGTTTTGGTAAATCTGTTTTGCTTTTAAATGTTACCCTGTAAAATAGATACTGCAATGTATACGGAATCTAGTGGATTTTTTTATTTTGAATGTCGTTGAAATGGGTTTTTCTCGTGCAACAAGCATGTTAGGACGGAGAATTTTCGTAAATCTCCCACCTGCTTTGTTCTGCTGTCTTATTCAATCTTTCTCCTTAAACGGATAACAATGGTCAGCGAAGGGTTGAACATAAAGTTCCCAGTGGATAATGTCATTCAAATTTGTGTTGCATCTTCTTTATATATCCTTGAGCCAAAAAAAACAAATCCTCTTTATAAATGGAAGATTGAATGGGGCAGTTTGAACACACAAAATGAAGTTCTGAAGGCTAACAGGTTAGATCATCAACAGATTGCAAATTCAAGGACACAATTAACTTCATATACAGGAGAAACTTGGCTAAGTTAGCCATTGTCCACTTTTTCTAAAGGCTAACATGTTAGCTCCTCCGTTTGACATGGAGAAATGGAGTGGAATTTCTCTATTCTGATTTAGCCTTCTTGTCTACCTTTTCCTCTTTTAGTTGTGGAACTAGCACCCTAAATGTCCATATGGCCAGTAGAGTCGCCTCTATCGGGGCAAGCCAGTAGACAAGTATATGCTCCTTCGTTACATGGGCACCACGAGCATAAGCCCATCCCATCACCTACATAAGTCAATAAGGTTTAATACATTCAAGTTTCTAAATTAGATCTCAGCAGCTAAAACAACATGGGAATCTATACATTTATAATGATTAATTGTTGTAGGTACTTACAGAGGCTGGGTTCATGCAACCACCAGTCAGATCAGAGCCAAGAATATGAAGAGTTAACTTAGAAACACTTGAGATCCATGTCTTCATGAAGAAACTCCCTGGGATGTTTCTGGCAAGCCCAAGTGAGATAGTAACAATTGCAAATGTTAGCAATCCTTCTGTAAGTGCACCTCGATGGATATCAACATTCAGACGTGGGCCAAGACCTATTTCAGGAAAGAGCTGAATTATGAGCTTGACCCCAGCAATAGAGCCAATAACCTGAAGAGATAAGAGATATGAGAGAAATTAAGTTGTCATCACTGTAAAATATGGAATTAGGAAAATCATTTCAAGTAGTACCTCCCACGACAGATAATATGTTTAGAAACTGAAAGGCATATGGTTTTCGGCAAAGTTATTCACTTACTGCAAAAGGGGGAGCAGGAAGATAAAGCCTTATCATAGGTTCCATGCAGTAACAGCTTAGTTCAACTGATATTTTAACTCCGATTTTATTTTCTTTGTGAATTTATACTAGTACATGCAAGGGTTAACTAGGAAAAGGTACATTGTTCCATAATCGATGTCTATTCACTCAATCAACTCGTAATTACATAATCAAAGCTCAATTACAGGTTTATAACAATACTCTCCAACAAAATTAACACCAGGGAGTGCAGGATATCACACCTGTAATTGAGCTTTAATATTTAAAAAGTCCTTATCATAGTTTTCACGCAGTAACAGTATAGTCCAACTGGTATTTTCACTCAAACCTTGTTGGAAAATAAAAGAAACAACGGTTCCTCTGATTTTATTCTTCTTCATTTTGGATGAACTCTCAAATTTCCCTAGTTCTCTATGTTTTCCACATTGGTTCTACATAGACACAAGGCTTAATTAGGAAAACATGTCTGATTCCATAATCTGTGCCTAATCAGTTAATCAACTCTTAATTACACAGTCAAAAGCTCAATTACAGCATAATAAGTAGTCAATAATTTCCATCTAAGCTAGTACCAACGAGTGCATGATATTGAACCATACAACATGACTCCAAGAATTTGGAAAAAAACAACTGCCATGGTAAAAGGTCACCAAAAGAGATCTGACAGCAATGTCACTGCACAAGAGAAGAGGCAGCTGTCTGGTCTGAAACACCATGGGGTCTTTCAAGGACATTTTCTGAGGTCAAGCTCGTCACTAGACCAGCTCTACCCCATCAAACCTCCAACCCCTATTCACTACTCTATAGCTATAAAAAAGTCCTATTTCTCTCTTGATGCACAACACTCGAAAGAATAGTGGAACTCCATAAAGCTTTTGCCTTGTTTCCCTTGTCAAAAGTCTTGTGCTTCTGTCCAAAACAATAGACATGTATGTAGCTGGAGTTATCCTACTCAGTTCAGCTTCCCTAAACAACCTCAAGAATAAGTTTAATGCCATAGGAGAACGAAGAAATAAGTGATCACAAGTGATATGACTTGCCACAATTAATTATCCAAGCTAGTATCCGTACCTTAGGCTACACTTTAGCCATAAATCATAGAGGAAGGCTGAAAACATGCAGTGGATTCCACTTTCCACCTTCTACAATCTGCTCTAGATGCATGTGAAACCAAATAGAGGACAAAAGGATCCTATTTTGGCCAGAAAGCTGTCATGAAAGGGGATAGGAGCTCTGATTTGGGCTTTGATATGTGCCTTTATTACTCTTGAAAGAGATTTTTACCACTGAATTGGAGAGTCTGTTCTTGGGAAGTAGAACCTGATAAAACAAAAGCGAGCTTAATTGACGTTCTCTCGAGGCCTATCAATCTCAAGTGTTGAAGAGTTATAAGACGGCATTATAAATTGCTATCTACGGTCCAATAGGATTTGCAGCGGCAGACAATCCTAGGGAGACTGAAGAGAAGAGGAGCCAAGCTTCTTCGTTTAGGTGCATCAATCAATTTTGCCCCTTTGCAGCTAGGAAGGGTGGTCTAAGGAAGAGTTCCCACGATCCCATAAAAAATGGAGTATTGAGAGCAGCAGGGAAAGGGTCAGAGGTGTCACCAGACAACCTCCTAGGACAGCAATCTTAAAACAAAGGGGGATTCTAGTAATGGAAAGAAACGGGTAGCCATGGAAGAGTTGTAGGAGAAGCTATTAGGTCATCTTCTCCTTTGACCACAGCTCCATTCACTGAAGACCAAGGGGTGTGCAAGATAACTGCACTTGGCAGTCTATATGCCTTCCTTAGATACCTTAGGGTTACAATCATGCAGGAAGAAGTTGTAGAAGTTACAAAACGAGTAGACAAATGAGGGCTCGTTGCTTGTGTTTCATTTAGTTTCTTTCTCTCTTTAGCACAAACTTTTTCTTTGCTTCCCGTTCTTCCCTCATCGGCCTTTGTATTGTTGCATTCATAGATACATGTGGTTCATCTTCTTCAACTATGTCTTAGGATGGTGAACTATTTAGATCAAATCTATCCAATTTGAACAACATATCAACAGTTCACTTCTTTTCCAACTAATGTTTTCATTTTAGTCCCACTCTTCTTAAGAATTTCGTTCTCTCTCTCTCTCTCTAAAGGAAAAAAATACAAACTACTTGTTTCTTGGCATTAGTGTCATCTAGAACATCTATTCTAATTATTTACGCACAATATAATTCAGAAAGGACTACTTAATAGGGTATAATAAAGGAGCGGAGGCAGGGCATATTTAGAGACTTGTATGGAGTATCACCCTAATAGGTCTGTTGTAATATATGTCAAGAGATTATCTAAATTCCAAAATCGACCAGAAAGCGACATAAATTGGCATTTCCCACACGTAAAACAATTCCTCAGTTAATTAAATCTGTTTGAACTTTGAAGATGTATAATTTCTATTTCAATAAAGCAGTCAAATAGAGAACACAAACAAGAACAACCAATATCTCAAATTGTTCAACAACAACAAAAAAAAGGCATGTATAATTCAAAATTTTCAAACAACTCAAATTGTTCATGTATCACAGAAACTAGGAAAGCAAGATAACCAAGAAACCGCTATTTAAAGCCAAATCAAATTTCAGCAGCCCAAATTAGATGTTCCGCAACCAAAAAATGTAAAAATCAACTCTACATACAAAGATCAAAACCCAAGATTCTTTCTCTCTAAATTCTAACATTTCCCTCCTCAAGTTTTGTATCTAGCCAACCAAACAACCAAATAAGACAAGCCCATGAAAAGGGGGCGTTGGGTTACCTGAGCAGGGATTCTTGCAGCAACAGTGAAAAGGAAGCGGGTGAAATCCCCAGTGATTGCGCCAGCAAAAACGGTGAGAGGATTGTACGTGCCACCATTGGTAATCTTTCCCAACAAGGCAAAGAAGAACATGTTTACAATTGACAGAGTGGATTTGATAATCTCACCGGTGGGTTCATGGCCAAACCCCAGATTGTTGTAAACATACATCTTAATCAAGACCCCTGACCAAACCCACATGAATGACATTGTGAAATCTGATACAAGCAAACCAATCCTCCCCATTTTGCTCGCACAGAAATCACCAACGCTTACGCTTTGCACAAAAATGGTGGCTGGCCCGTGCCCAGGCTCTAGGGGATGCTGATGATGAATAAGATTCGTTTACTTTGTACTTTCATGTTGACCAAAAATAGAATTTTTTTTGTTGGGTCGGAAAAACGTAAAGAAAATGTTTTGTGAGAGGATATATATTTTTCAAACCCCACCCGCTTAGGTAGGTACGGTCACCAAACGAACTTTCTCTGTATTTTCGTGTCTGTCGGATCGTAGACTCTTTTTGTAGAATACAACCAGCCCACAACTCTTCAACAATAGGGAAATAAAATAAGGGATATAATTTACCCGCTCCCCTTTTCTCCACTTTACACTTCTTTTTGCTTTTTAATACTTTTTAATCAATTTTGTTCTTTCTCTTTTCTATTCTACCCTTACTCTACATTAATTTCTTTTTACTTTATTTTTATATTAGTTCTTTTTCTTTATACTTAATTTTCCAACTTGCACTCTATTTTTAGTATTTTTTTTCTTTTAATTGAGTAAGAAATTAAGTTTTTTTTCCTTTTAATACTGAAAATGGAGTGTAAGCTGAAAAATTAAGTATAAAGATAAAGAAATAATATAAAATTGAAGTAAAAAAGAAATTAATGTAGGATAAGGATAGAATAGGAAAGAGAAATAACAAGATTGATTAAAAAGTATTAAAAAGCAAAAGAGAGTGTAAGTGGAGAAAATGGAAGTGAGAAAATCAGCTCCCTAAAATAATAAGCGGCTTTAGCCTTCAATAATTCATTTAAATCAATTTCTA